TTTGATAAGGCTCGATTAAGGCTTAATGTTTTTTTAATGGGAGTTTTTTATCAAAATTAATTTATCATTCTAAAGTTGTAGCGCACCGATTTTCCTTCGGTAAAGTTATTTAAAGCTGCTTTCTGATGTCAAAAACGACTTCCGATAGTTTTTTAATTTTTTTAATTAATAGATTTTATTATATAGAAGTTTAATTAATTAGGGGGGGTCGGAAATCGCAATAAAAATTATAATTTTTTTAAAATATTTAAAAATATACCGCCAGATTGAAGTCACCCTACTTTAAACCCTTGTCCTCCCGCGATGTCTATGAGAATGTCCCGGGAAATCGGACTCCAGCTGTGTTCAAGGTCACCCAGCTGTGTAAACAATGACTCATCGGTGTTACATTTCACAGACAGGCGAAACAAAGGAAAATAAAATATAAAGCTTTTTCTTCAAAATTAACGCATTTCTTTCGTGTTTTTTCAGTTTTAAGTATTTTTTATGCTTAATTAAAAATTTTTAAAAAAATGGGCGGCTCAAAGGGGGTTAAAAATTAATGTTTCGTAAAAATTACAGGTTATCTTCATAGAATGATTTCCATGCTGTGTTGAAGTTTTCGACTATTTACAAAAATATTAAATTTTCGAGTCTATCACAATCCTTTTTTATACAGCAACCAGAAGTAACAGTTAACATGGCTTGAAGCAGTTAAAGAATGAATAAGGACAGTATGCTGCAAAGAGTTCTTCGAGTTTTTAATGTAAAGTGTCAGAACCTACAATAGAAGGCTGACACTTGATCGTTTTTAACATTGTGACGTCTCTTTTTACTTGTTTACCTTTGTTTTTTAAGAAGTTATTCTTCAACAAAAAAACCATGTTAACTGTTACTTCTGGTGCTGTATAAAAAAGGATTGTGATAGACTCCAATATTTAATATTTTTGTAAATAGTCGAAAACTTCAATTGAAGAATTATATCCTGAGTTATTACAGAAATTCCATGCTGTGGATAGAGAGTGGGCGTCCCTATGATTGATACAAGTAGTTTTCCCTTGTGCTTTATAAATCTACAGTTTTTCGAGATGTTTGATAGAGTGCTTGTTAGACGTGGGTCTAATGATGGAAGCTTGGTCCCATATGACCTCAATTCCTTGCTGGTTGGCGTAAGATGCTAAAACGGTGCTATCGTTGTTCTTTCTAATCGAGTATTTATGTTCTTTGATTCTTTGTTCCAAGCTTCTCAAAGTAGCACCTATATAAACACTATCTGAATCAAAGCGACGGTCTTTGATTGGTATGTAGTAAATACCGTAGGTAGCGATCTGGTTGTCATTCTTTTTATCATTTCTCAGTAACTTGTATACTGTGGGATTGCGGCGATATACGATCAGTAAATTATTGATGTTTGCAATATCCTTGATCATTTTTTTTTAAGAAGGGATGATAGTTGATTACCTCCATGTGTTTTCATATAATGTAATTATCTTAATCTTCACTATCGTTACTTTTTGCCCACAAATGAAAACCCAGCGAAGCAAGTCCTTGCAGCAAGATTCCAAATTACTTAGAAAAACAGTCTTATATATATATATATATAACTATATTACATACAAATGTACGAACAAATAAAAACCCAGCGAAGCGGGTCCTTGCAGCTAGATTCTAATTACTTAGAAAAACAGTCTTTTATATATATATATAACTATATTACATACAAATGTACGAACAAATAAAAACCCAGCGAGACGGGTGTTTGCAGTTAGTAAATTAATAAATTTAAAAAATTAATCAAAATATAATCAGTTATAGACACCATTTTTAGTCATTTCTAAAATGTGTATATGATTGGATAGTAAGTAATTTGATACTGCTAATTAAGTACAAAATCACACTTAAATTTTTTATTCTTAAATCTTGCATGCTACATTTTCTAGGTATAAATGATTCAGTTCATGATATCGTTGACCCTAATGTGAGTTTAGATCAGAAATTTTAGAAGCTCAGATAAAAGGCTTTTTTCAGAGTGTCGTTCATCAGTTCTGTGTACATGTTTTTTTTTTTCAAGTCTAACTGATGTATGATCTAATCAAAAGGAAACCAGGCAGTCAGATATAAAAGCGTCAAAAGCAAAAGTAAAATAGTTATTTATTATGATAATGAATAAATTTATCATTTCGGCAACAGTAAATTTATTAATTTCAACTTATGTTCTCATTATACGTGATTTAAATATATATCAACTATTTAATAATTTAACGTGTATTGTATAACAAAATGCAAATTTTTACTTGATATGTTTTTAATCCTGGACTTTACATTACCGGAATCCGCGACGTAATCGTAAAACTGAAAGCCAAACTGACGGAACTTTCAGTTTTGTAACGTTCAGTTAGACAGAAAGAAGACTGAAAGCAAGGTTAAAAATTATTTAAGTTTTCCGTTTTCGTCCCGCGCTTCTGTCGTACTGCAATCAATAAAAACGCAAGGATTTGTGACGCGTAGTCACGTGTAGTTTGATTGTCGTAATGGCAGAAAGTGTAGCGAAAACGACGAGGAAACAAATAGATTTGGAATTCTTCATAGAAGAAGTTAGAAAATACACGTGTCTTTACGACAAAAAATGTAAATAATTCAAAGATTATTAACAATGAAATTGTTAATAAATACAGAGAAAGCATGGAAAAATTCGTAGCGTCGTCCATGTTTGACTATACGACAATTACAGAACTGATCGACGGATAGCGCATTTCTGGTGGAGTCAAGTTAAAACGAAAACATAACTGAAACGAAAACTCTATATGTTCTTGTTCTGTTTCTGAGTTTCTGTTTTCAGGTAATTTGGAGTCCAGGCTTTATGGTGGACAATTGGAAAAAGTATTATCGTGTCCGTTAGCCTGAGTACATATTAAATCTATATTTTTACCTTAAATGTAATGCTTACATTTAATGATATAAATAATTTAAATCTTCTAAAATTTATTGAATATCTATTGAAGTTATGCTCAGTGTAAAAAATGTTCTACTTCTCAGTGCATATTATATTGAACATAATTACATTTTAGTTTACATTTACCAATTTTAGGATCTAAGTTTATTTCCTAAAGGAGATCTAACTACCGTGGGAGAAAGAGGAGTGATAATGAGCGGTGGGCAAAAAGCAAGAATTAATCTAGCAAGGTAAAGTAACTCTTACTCTACTTGTTTGATTTTTCTTAGATCAATAATTAGCTCAACATGAATGAAACAAACCATATATATATTTGTGAGAGTTCAGATTTTATTATCGAGTATAACCTTTTATATTAATTAAGTCTTGAAATTTTTTTCAAAAATTTTTTCCCGCGTGAAAAAATTTTATTGCGATTTTAATGTACCTTTAATAACGCATGATTTACACTTAATTCTTTTTATGGGATTTTTTAAATCAAATTTTATTCAGCGTTCTAAACCAGTGTTTTTCAACCTGTGGGTCGCAAAGCCATACACGGGGGGTCGCGGGTAAAAGAAAAAGACAAGTGTTTGTAGGTCCTCCATTACAATAAAAAAACTACAATTTCGGTGAGAAGGCTGTGCCTGTTTATTTTACAGTACAATTAGTTTTTTGATCGATATTTAAATCTCAACAGAAAGAAAATTAAATACGTAATTTTTAAAATCACTGACATAGTTTTAATATGGCCGTGGGGGGTCGCCAGAATTTTTTAACTTGTAAAGGGGTCACGTATTCAAGAAGGATGAAAAACACTGTTCTAAACTTTTAGTGCACGGATTTTACTTCGGTAAAGTTATTTAAAGCTACTTTTTGATATAAAAAACGACCTCCAATAGTTTTTTAATTTTTTTAATTAATAGATTTTATTATATATACGTTTAACTAAGTCGGAGGTCGGAAATCGCAATACAAAACGTAATTTTTTAAAAATATTTAAAAATATACCGCCAGCTAGTATTCACCCTACTTTAAACCCATCTCCTCTTGAGACGTCTATGAGAATGTTCCGGGAAATCCAAGACCAGCTGTTCTGAAGGTCATTTAGCTGTAAACGCAATGACTCATCGGTGTAAAATTTCGCAGAGGGACGAGACAATGGAAAATTAAGTTTGAAGCCTTCTCTTCAAAATTAACGCATTTCTTTCGTTTTTTTTCAGTTTTAAGTATTTTTTATGTTTAATTACATTAAGATTAAAAATTGATCGGGAATAAAGCAGTTAATTAAAAAAAAATTAACGTTTAAATTTTATATTAACGCAAAAAATTGTATAAAAAAGGAAAAACGTTTTTTCAAACAATTAATAAAAGATGGAAGGATATGATTGTGTTTTCCATCGGATTCACTTCCTTCAAAAGGTAACACATCTTCTGAATGTGTCACTCAGAACTTTCACCGAAATTCATCTATTGGCCACGACCTATAACATATCCAAAAAAGACAATAGTAAACACGAAAAAACCTCCTCAATAAAAGGGAGGGTTGGATGACGAATGTTGTTGAGGCGAGAAGTTTGAGTTGTCAAGTTGCCTGTCGTTCGGATACCTCCTGGATTGTTTTCTGTCTAGAGTAAACACCTTGAATAAGTGAACACTTTTAAAGTGATTTCTTCAGAAAAAGAACTCTTTTAAAATAACGTAGTGAAGAGGAGAGCATCTGCACGAAAAAAGTGACTTCTCCACTTAACTGTAAAGTTCATCAATCCGGCATTGTAAGGTATCTATACAGCTTATCTAGATGTAAGCTCTCTCTCTCTCTCTCAACGTAGAACGCGAATTTCTTAAATCATACACGCAACCTTTAAATATCAATGTTTGTATAATTAGCTAAGTAAACGGAAAATTGTTATTATTTAATTTGGATTTGTGGCACTTCCTTAAATGCGTTGTCTCTCGTGTCACTTCCACCCAGATCCCACCACCTTCTATACGTAACTTGCGCGAGAACGAGATCGCTATCGCGATAGTATGTCGATTTCCCTACATACTGGTGTCATCCTGACAAGGCATAATGACATGTTGCTGACCCTCCGGTAACATATTTCTTGTCTTTTGTAGTAAGTTTATTTTACTTTGATATCTTTTTTTATGTTTCTTAGAGCATTATATCTTGATGCCGATGTATTCCTCCTTGATGATCCACTAAGTGCTGTTGATGTTCCAGTGGCAAAACATATCTTCGAAAAGTAGGTATTTAAGTATTTTTTATGACAGTGGTTCTCAACCTTTTTTCATTAGCGTACCCCGTAACATGTTATATCTCCAGATTGTACACCTCATTTAATTAAGAAATTTAATGAGTACCCGTATTGTTAATTTTACGTATTGTAACTTTAAATTAAAGAAAAAAAAACTAAATGAAAAAATGTATAATAAAGTTGTGATTGTTGCAAGGAACATTTTTTACCTAATAATTTTTTAATATTATTAGTTTGTAATAATATATTATGTATTAGTTATACATAATATATTATTTTTTCTTCCATAATAACTAACTTTTTTCTGTACCCGTAAACAACCTATCGCGTACCCCAAGAGCCGGGGTCGGAATTAGCAGCTCGCGAGCCGCATGCGGCTTTCTGCATAGACGTTTGCAGCTCTTCAAACATAAACTCCAATTTCACCTCACCTCATTTCACCGCAGCCTAATAACTTATGCCTTTATGAGATAGAGTCGTACGCCGTCCGCACATGACCACACTCGCGTTGATCAATATGTGTCGCATAAGAGTGGTAGCATTTGACGCATATCTATATGTATAACACATTGAATACGTGTCCGTCCATCCGTGTAACGTTATGCCAAAAACGTCCACTAGAGGCGCCCCTGTCGTGTGTCGTATTTCGCACATTTAAATTAATATGCGGCTCTCTGGTACTTTTATCATCCTGTTTTCGTGACAATTTGGCTCTTCTCACTTGACAAACTGCTGACCCCTGCCCTAGGGGTACACGTACCACAGGTTGGAAATCGCTGATCTATGGTATAGTTTAGCGCTGTCCAACTTATCATAGCCCGCGGGCCATATTTTCTTCACCAGACATTTCGGGGGCCAAGAAGGTTGATAAATGGAAAGTCAGTTTATGTTAATTCTACTAAATAGTACCTACTTTACGCAAACTAAATAGTACCTACTTTAAATTCAAATTAGATTTAAATTTTTACATAGTAAAATAATTTTAATATTAATAATAATAATTTAGTAACATAAATTTATTCATTGTAAAATGTACTCGCGGGCCGTAAAAATTATTTGACGGGCCGCCAGTTGGACAGCCCTGGATAGTTGAATACATTTTCACTTTTTATTCATTTCAGATGTATAATGGAATATCTGAATGACAAGATTTGTATTTTAGTTACGCATCAAGTACAATTTTTAAATTTTGCAAGTAAAATTTTAGTGTTAAATAAGGTAACGATATTATTTGTTCAGTAGTTTTCTTTCTAATTACTTTGTTTATAAAAATTACGTTATTTTTTATTTTAAAACATCAATTTAACGTTATAAAGTTTAGAATGAGAAAACAATTATGAAGTTAACTGTGTTGTTTAAATAAACTAAATATATACTACATTGGATGTATGGCAATATATAAGCTTTTTCTCAACAAAAAAAATTTTTCTCGGTAAGACTGGGAGAGTTTTTTATTCCCAAGTCAGATACGTGATGAAAATATGCAAAATTCCTCCAAGCCGTGTGTTGAAAAAAACAAACTAGTATTGTTCAGTTATTGTTATATCTACTCACACACTCTTCAGTTTGAGATCAGTTGTATTTGCATTATATGTTGTATACAGCAGTAAATAGAAAATAGAAATTGCATCATGAGTTAACCAATGCACCTTTTAATATACCCGTAATTCAATATCTATTACTGGTAAATTTGTTAAAATATCTAGAACTGATTAATATTGGAGACAAAATATATACAGTAGAACCTGTATTATCCGGACCTCCATTATCTGGATTTTCGATTATCCGGATTGTTCAAAATAAACAAAAATTTTACGAATTTGCTGATTTGCACATGGCGAATTACGACACTGTTTATGTACGTTATGGAATGCATAACTTTTTTTGTTTCAACAACGTCTCACCCAGCACAGTGGTCGTAAACTCTTAAATATATTTTACGTAGTAATAAAAATATAACTTGACATACGTACAAGGTCTGTTCAAAAAGTATTGGACCTTTTTTTCTTCCGCGTAAACCAATGATGCGAGAGAGGCCTCCTTCGGTGGAGTTGTGGAGGGGACAGCCATGCACAGCCCTGGATTTTTTCCCGCCTGCAGGAAGCGTCAGTCGTTGGCAATTGGCCTATGAGTGAGGTCATGTAGTGCGCTCTCGTCGGATTCCACTAAGCTGGAAAATGACTGAACAACGTGAGCAGCGATATTACATCACATTTTGCCAAAAACCTTGGCGATACCCGAGTGTAAACCATTCGCAAGATTCAGCAGGCTTTCGGGGACGATCCTCGAGGCCAAAAAAAGCGCGGCAGGTCCGCAGCAATATCAAAGGTCATGTTGACAGTTTTTTCGACTCTCGTGGGGTGGTGTGTCGTGAGTACGCACCACAAGGCCAAACCATCGCAAAGGAGTACTACCAGGAGGTCCTTCGTCGTCTTTCCGATACAGTGCGACGCAAACGACCGGATCTGTGGTCGATCAAAACTTGGCAGCTCCATCGTGATAACGCATCCGCCCATTCTGCGCATCTGATTCGGGCTTTCG